AACGATGCAAGTGTATTAGCCCAAATTATAAAGATATGCGAGTTTTCAAGTATTTAAGTATAGCATTTTATTGAATAATTAAATACAAGGTTACTGTCGTTGACGTCCAGTTCGATTCATGTTCGTTCTTATACTCTGTAATTATGTGCCCTTGACACACACCGCACACATTTACTTATTTCGGGCAAAATTCACATACTTTTTTCCTATTTTTGACCATTCCTTTTTTTCCATTCAGGTCAGTCCAACTCGACCAAGATCAACATAAGTCGTTTCTTGAAAATGCACATTCTGACACTTAGGGTCTGTTTGTTTCACTGAAAATTATTTTCGGAAAATGAAATCTGGAAAATGTTTTACAGAAATGTAAATCATTTTCCATAAAATATTTTCCAGTGTTTGGAAGGTACATTGTAAAATGTTTTACATTGTTTGGGTAATTTTTCTGAAAACAGTTTTCAGAATCTGTTTTTAATGAAGAAGCTGTACATATTGGATATGTTTTATTATTTATTATTTTTAAAGGTTCATTTTTTATATATAATTATATTTTATAAAAATATTAATTTTAGATAATATTAATAATTGATTAAAAATATATTATAAAAGTTTATAAATCCTAAGAATGTTTAATTAATAATACACCATATTAAAACAACAATAGTACATATCATTGTACTAATGATAATAGTGTCAAAATATATAATTAAAGGGTTTATCACATTAAAACAACAACAATATCTAACCGTAATAATACATAGTCTAATTCATAATTAGTGTTACAACACATCAAACCAACAATACAAATACGGAAGTCTATACTACAACACATTAGAGCTAAATTTATTACATAATTGATTAATTTCAAACATAATTGGAAACATAACATTATCAATTTCATAGTCCAACAAACTTAAAACATAACATTTATAATACCAACAACCTAAAAATAAAAATGTCAACGTCCATAAAATTTAACATCTATAATTTATGTGAACTTAAAACAGTAGCAAATTCAATATCCAACAAACTAAAATCAACAATATCCATCATACGTAACATACAAATACTAAAAAAAATCAACAAAATTACATATTTCTAATTATATAATCACTCCACATAGCTTATGCAATTTCATCTATTTTAGTAGCCCATTCTCTAGCTTCTTCTCTCTCTTCTCGTTGTGTAAGCATTGATGTTATCGAATAAGGCTCAGGTTCCTCATAAAAGCCTTCATTAATTATATCATTAGGATCAACTCCCATAATATGGTTATGAATGATAGTACAAGTCAATACTACGTCTATTTGTGTTTGAAAATCCCAAAATGGTTCAGCATCTAACACACGAAAATGTTTTTTTTTTAAAATTCCAAACACTCGCTCAACAGTTGTTCGCAATGATGAATGACGAAGATTAAAAAGTTCATTTGCATTTTCTGGATGATGATTACTGAACTCTTTTAAATGATATCGAACACCACGATATGGAGAGATAATTCCATTTCGGGTGCCATATCCAACATCATCAAGATGATATTTACCTACAATTTAACAAAATGTTGTTATTACTTAATATATTATGAGTTGAAGTTAATTAATTTATATTATTAAATCTATTTATTACCTTCTGGAATACTAAATCCTCTTGGGCGTGTAAGTGCATCAGTTAAAATACGAGAATCATGTGCACTGCCTTCCCAACCAGCTAGAACATACGAAAATTTCAGGTCAAACTTAATGGCAACTAATACATTATGTGTCGTTCCCCCTTTACGACTACGAAATCTTCCTTAAATGTTAGGTGGAACAGATGTACGAATATGAGTTCCATCTAATGCTCCCATACAATATTTATATGGATTGAATGTGGCTTGTTCTATGTAAAAAAGGGTTTTTGTGTCATTTATAGTAGCAAGTATATAGGTTTTCCCTTAGACAGATGTGGTTTGGCCTGCATCTACATTAGTGAGAAGGTACTTGATTTTTGCCATGTCTTATGAAATGATATGGTATGTATTTCAGCTGTATAATGTTTCTAGCATATAATTGTCAAAAAGGTAGTTGAGAAATGTGTTTTCATTTCGTCAATAAAGCCATATATGATTGCGACGAGGAATTTGTTTCAAGAATTTTCAGAATTTGACTGGTCATGCTCTATAAATGAGGTTTTGCATTTATTTGTGCATCTGCATATATAAAGCCTTTTATTCCCCCTAACAAAGCTACTAAAACATGCTTTAATTATTTATTTAATTGTAAATAAAGAGAGAACAAAACCAAAGTAACTTTTGTAAGCAATATTTTGATTGTTTAAATAAAATCAAGATGTAAATTAAACAATATTTGGACTTCAATTTACTAAGGAGATAATCTGAGTGATATATTTGCAGAAGAAACAAGAAATATTACTAAAAAGGAACAATATAACATATGAATTTCGATAGTTCAATAAAGAAAGATAATCTGACATTACCCTATCGAGAGAAAGAAGCAACGAAGTTATCACAAAACTCGACAGCAGAGGATTACTTATCCCCATCATAAAACCTTATACTCATGTTTTCATCATTAATTGTTGAAAGTATGGGCTCAAGAGATTGTTATATTTTAACTTCTTGCAGAAGTTCTTTGCATTCTTTCAACCTTGTTAGCATGAACTGAGATGCATGCTTGAAACTCAAGTAGCCTCATCGATAGGCGTTAATGTTGTCTTGTAGAGTTGAATTTAAAGATTCTTTAGGGAGAGGTGTTCCAAAGATAATTGGAGATTCTAAATTCAGGATTGAAGGAATTAATACATTGATGACAAACTTCTGTTAAAAGCTAACAAGGGACTCGTGTGAGGAGGAAAAATGTAAATTCTTTTGCATAACCCATCCGAAATGCCCAAAAAATGTTTAATGATTTGATCCCTATATGCTTTTCATACAATTTCTTAAATAGTTTTAGCCCAGTTACCTTTTTATGCTTCTAAAACTTACCAATCCTTCTCAAAAGGCTTTCCAAACCTTTTGAACAAGTTTTTCAATTTAAAAGTTCCAAGTAACCATTTTTTCACTCATAAACAATTCTACGTGAATTTTACAACCCCAAATAATTTATATGTAACTATTAAAATAGTAATATGATATTATACTTGATCTAGAATGCAACATAATTCTATATTCACAAAAACGTCCTTTAATTGCATTCCTCAGATTTATGATGATCATAAGCATTTATCAGCTTAGAGCATTTATGATGATTACATTTCTGTATATATCAAATTAGAGTTTTCATGCAAGAAAATCCAACAAGCCTTTTGCCTATCATATTTCCTATGCAATTTGATCTATTGCTTCCCCAGAGACAAATCAAGATGCTACAAACGAGCAAATGAAAAATAAAACACAATCAACGAAAAAATAATACAAAGAGTGAGGGAGAGATAACCTCTTGGAAAGGTTGTTCGATGCACCGCCGGTAGCCTTTTGCAACACGAAGAAGAGCAATTTCAGCTTTCAAATCTTTGATTTCTGCCTCGTCGGTGAAATTGAAAATTGAAAATGAGGGAAAGATGAAACAAGAAAAAGAGGTCAAGGAAGATGAAAAGGGAGAAGAAGAAACAAGAGATACTTGAGTAGACGACCTCCCGCCTTGCCGGTGAAAAGGATTCCAAACAATCGATTTTTCGGTGTGGAGCAAGGGACAGGAGAAAGAAATTATCGTGTTCTCTGTGTGGAGCAAGGGCCGCAAGAAATTTGGAAAACGACTTACCCTTTTCCAAACGGTAAGTCGAAATATCGTGTTTAAGGCTCATTTTTCCATTGACAGTAAAACGCTTTATGTCGACCCGGGTGTTTTACGAGAACCAAACACCCAAAAACGGGAAAACATTTTCCGTAAATTATTTTTCCCATTCCAAACGGACTCTTACTGCAAAACGTGCCTTTGTCTATGTGACAAAAAACAAATTCGAGAATTAATCGTATAAAGGTGCTAAAATGGTAAATAATATTTTATATTATATATTTAAGTAAAAAAATCGGAGGTTTAAATGAGTTATTTTTACTTGTTCTTAATAGTTTATTACATCTAGACCTTTTTGGATATTCAAAACAGTGTCATATTTGAGTTTGACCAATTGTTCTCTTTCTGTGTAAGTCGGCGCTTACTTGAGTGACAAGTGACCAGTTGCCAATATCATTATATATATATATATATATCTTTAAATCTAGATAAATAAAAAAGTTAATGCTTATTAAAGAGAAATTAACCAATTATTATTGCAATTTATAGGATAAATATTGTAGTCCAAATTAGTAAACATAATGCATTAAAAGTAAGAAAAATCTTAATTTAATTATATCTGTAGGATCTTAAGTGTCATATAAAAGATAGTGTTTATAGACAGAAATAGGATGATTTATTTACTATTTTAAGAGAAATATTTACATCAAATATATTATTTTCATTGATTGATGTATTAATTGTACTTTTCTTTTATATATCACCTCAATTAAAGCATCTGCCAAAAATAGAAAAACAATTAATATTTGAATATAATTTAGTAAAAATAATATGTTACTTGACTGTAGAGTAATATATTTGATACGATAAATATCTATAAATACATATCATACACGTCAACTTAGCAAACGCTTTACTATATAGTCTCGTCCTTCTACTGTCTTCAAATCCCAATAGTCAAACAAAAATCTGATAACCTCTGTCTGAAAAGGTTTAAAAAGAGAACAATTGGTCAAACTCAAATCTGATAACCTCAGCTGTGATTACTGTAAGAAATCTTCAAGGTATTTAGCTTCTTTCTTTTTGAAATATCAGGGTTGTTCTTTTTGAAACATGCAGCTTCAAAAAACAGTTGTTTTCCTTCGCATTTATCAGTCTCTACATGGCGTTTTCACACACACACACACACATATATATATATAAGAGCGGAATATCTTCTCCGTTTTCGTCTTTCAGAAACCGACTTTATTATATTTTGTGCAGTAAAGAATGGATAGACATAGTGGGACTGGGGTTGCAGAAAACTTTGATTCTGGTTTAATGGGGACCATGAACGGAGATGGATACGAGAGTAGTGATAGCTTTGAAGTTCCACCGCCTGATAATGGAGGACCGTCTGAGAAGATGAACAACAAGTTCCGTAGGCACTCTCCCCACCAAATACAAGTGCTTGAATCGTATGCTTCTTCTTCTTCTGTTTGTAAATTTGTTTTTTATTGGGTTTTGCTTATCATTGCTTTTTGTTTGTCAGTTTCTTCAAGGATTGTCCTCACCCTGATGAAAGACAAAAAAGGGAACTCAGCATGAGATTAGGCATAGAGAAAAAGAAAATCAAATTTTGGTTTCAAAACAGGAGAACCCAAATGAAGGTAAGTTGACGATCTTTGTTTTGATTCTTGAGGTACGATTGAGTTTGGGATTTGCTAATGATTAAAATCCGAAACAGGCTCAATTGGAACGCAATGAAAATGAATTTCTTAAACAAGAGAACGATAAACTCCGAGTGGAGAATGATTTCTTGAAGCAGGCTTTAGATAGCCCCACATGCAACAACTGTGGCGGTCCAGCAGTGCCTCTGTCTTCCTCGCACAATCCTACTCCAAACCCCAATGCATTAGCAGCTATGGATGAATTGATCAAAATGGCACATATGGGTCATCCCCTTTGGATCAAAGGGCTGCATGATGGACCGGAAACCTTGAATTTGGCAGAGTATGAGAGGTCTTTCCCCTCTTGCATTGGCATCAAACCCAGTGGATACACAGTTGAGGCTACAAGGGAAACAGCCTGTGTTCCCCTTCGTGGCTTGGCCCTCGTCGAGACCTTAATGGATGCGGTATGCCATCCCTTTCACCTCAATTGCTGCAAATGGTGGATACCTGATATTACTGGTTTAATCTCAATAAAGATATCTGAAGATTATGTCTGACAAGTTCCTTTTTGTGTTACTGTATGAATAGAATCGTTGGGCGGATATGTTTCCATGCCTGATTGCAGGAGCAGCAACGGTTGATGTGCTATCAAGCGGTACGGGTGGAACCAGAGACAATGCATTGCAAGTGGTATCATTTTAACCCCCTCTGATTTCCATCTTTGTTACTTTCTTTTTTCTTTCTGCTTAGCTTTGGCATTATGAAATCATACTTGCAGATGGTTGCTGAATTTCAAGTTCTTTCACCTTTTGTTCCTGTTCGTCGAGTTCGATTTGTCCGGTTCTGCAAGCATCTTTCAGATGGTGTGTGGGCGGTTGTGGATGTTTCTATTGATCCTAGCAATGCTGCAAATCCGCCCATGTTTGCAAATTGCAGGAGGCTTCCTTCTGGATGCATTATCCAAGATACTGACAACAAATACACCAAGGTAATTGCCAACAGTTTGTGATGAGCTCTGGAGTTTGGTTTTGATATTTGTTTGCAAAAGAGCATGCTTACAAGTTCCTAAATGCCAGGTTACATGGGTTGAACACTCGGAATACGATGAGAGCACAGTCCACCATCTTTTGCATCCGTTACACGGTTCTGGTTTCGGCTTTGGCGCACATAGGTGGATCTCCACTCTCCAAAGACAATGTCGCCGTTTCGCACTAATATTGTCCCCTTCTATCAACGGTGAAGGCAATGCAGGTTCTTTTCTCCCTTCTTCACTGCTATAATACTTCATTCTTTCAACTTTGAAAAAAATATAAAAGGATCCTCTCCTGATACATGCCATTCTGGCTGCAGCTGGCAGGAAAAACGTGTTAAAGCTTGCGCGACGCATGACATATAACTTCCTCGACTGTATTTGTGCTTTGAGTGAGCGTAAGGGTCTCGATGTTGGTTATGTTTGTAATGCGGGTGAAGATGTAAGGGTGATGGTTCGGAAAGATGCAAAGTATCCTGCTGAGACTCATGCTCTGAGCAGTTCAACTTCAGTTTGGATGCCCATATCTCAGCAAAGGCTGTTTGATTACTTGGTGGACGTAGGGATGCGGTGTCACCGGGACCTTTTGTCAAAAGAACGGTCAACGCCGGCAATGATCAATGTTGCCAAAGGCCCGGGACAAGGCGACCGTGTCACTCTCTTTAGTAGCGGTCTCGCTACCAACGGCAGCCTAATTTTACAGGAAACTTGGAGCGATGCATCCGGTGCGCTGATTGTGTGTGCACTTTTCGGCGGTACCTCAGCTAGTGTAGTGATGAACGGCGGTGATACATCGCAGTTGGAAATGTTTCCGATGGGATTTACAATTCTTCCCGGTGATGAGCGGCGAAGCAGCTCCGATGGGAGTACAAGTAGTAGATGCTTACTTACAACTGCGTCAGAGATTTTGGTGGACGGTAAGATAACAGCGGAAACAGTTGAATGGAATTGCAAAGTCTTATCCCACCAAGTTCAGACAATCAAAGCTGCCCTTTCAATACCATAGGTGGATCAGTTACATAATTAAACTTGGTAGCTAAATTTACTCACGACTCAAACCTAGTCTCCAACAATATTCATTACTCAAATTTCATGAAAGATTGACTATCACTTGTATGGTACTTAATATTGTTTGATTTTTATAGATCACAATGCCAAATATGTGCGGAATTGCATAACAAAATCTGGTCCAAGTTTATAAAAATATATTCTCGTGATTAGAAAAATAAACCAAATATATTCACATTCGTTTAAAATAATAATGTTATAAAATAAGTGGAATGAAACAATAAGGGGAAAAAATAGATATAAGAATAAAAAGAGAAATTTATATTATTATCTATATATGAGTTATATACGATGTTTTCACTAAACTCTATATTTATAAGCATAAAGAGCATATATTATATAGAACTCTAAATTTAATGGCTATTAAAGTCATAATAATAAAATATATTAAAATCTTATCTTATAGATATATTCATAACGCTCCTCCTTTGATGTCTATGAAGATAATGTGCCTCGTAAAAACCTTAATAAAATAAAAATCATGTGGAAAAAAAACATAATGAAAGGCAAGTGTACACATATCTTTAATATTTATAACATGTCTCGCTAAAAATCTTATCAAAAAAATTCAGTGGGAAAAAATATTGATTAAGGGGAAAAGGTATAATACGACCTCATGACAATATCACATAAGATCTTTCAAATTTCCACTTGAACAAATTCGTTGAATACTTATATTACTATTTTTTTAAATCACGGGGAGAAAAATTTAGGAAAATATGTTTAATTTGATGTATCCTCTTGTCAATTGAGCTATACATTTTTGCATTATCTTTGTACAAGATAGTTAACATCTTATCATGTGGAACCAAATCACGTATACTTTGAATATGTTGGATCAATTGTTTTATCTAAATATTTTTCGACTTGTGATACATGCACCACATACCTCACAATAAAGGAAGAAGAACTGACTCTTCCAATTGATTCACGCGTCTAAGCTTTAAAAAAGAAGACCATAACATTAATAGACTTGCGATGACTTTTCGAATAGGATTCAAGTGTTATTTGGTCGTTCTGGAGATATGCCCTTCTGTCTCTTTGCTTTTCAACAGTACTTGAAATGCATCAATCTGATATCAAGAACTTAAGATGATACATGTAGAAAATTCTTATACAAGGTTAATATAGGATTTTGTAAAAATTGTGATTTTTTTAATATTTTTTATTAATTAATTGTAATATAATTTAATATAAGAAGTTGCTTTATATTTTAGGACTGAATTTTTATTTTATTAGGAATTAGAATCAAACATTGTTCTAGTTTATTATTATTTTATTCATTAGTTATTGATTTAGAACTTTGGAACTCCTCACCCTATATAAAGGAGGCTTTATTAACCATTGCAAATCATTTTGCTTTTGAATAATAAAACAACATGAGTATGTTTTTGCAAGTGTTGATAGCCTTGTTTCTTCGAAGCATTCTTCATCATAAAGTTTTTTTGAGTTCTTCGTGAGAGAGATTTTTACACTTCAGTTTTATCTTTCCATTGTGGTTAGGAAGGTTTGTTAAAGCCTATTATAGTGTTTGTTTAATTAATTGTGATTAGGTACTAAGGGCACTTATCAATCACCATCAGTATCACCATTATCATCATCATCACGCTAAGTTCATCACCGTATACTCTAATTCACGCCAACTTTATACATACTACGAAGAAATTTCAATTCACTTTCTTTTTTATCTTTATTTGCCTTGTGTTTGTCTTTATTTTATATTCATAATCCATTATTCATTATATTTCAATTGAATCTAATCTTTTTAATTCTATGTCAGGAACTTCTCGACCATAACTTCAATCTTGGTTAAGTTTTTCTATCTTTGTTCTTTGTTTTCTATATTCGTTCTTTATTCATCTAGTTATTCTTTTATTATCTTTTATTCATATTATTCCTAAACACATCCAATTGTATGATTTTAATCTTGTTTCTTCGTTTTTTTGATTCATCTTCTTGTTTGTCGTTTATATTCAATTGTTGTTCATTATTCATCATCATTCTAATCAACATATTCTTGTTTGATTAGGGATAACAATTTCACTATCAAGAACTCTAATTGGCATCAAATACATCTCTCACGTCAATCCCCTTTTTGATTGAGTCTATAACCCTAGGCTTGATTTCTTTAACTATGAGCAACATTAAATAATTCGTTGCCTGATGCTTCGAATAATATAAAAGCAATCAGTGCAAGCATATACTATCATTTATTAAGTAGTAAAAGTGGACATAGCAAGTGCGTCGAGTATCTTATCCACGATGGATTAGTATTAATCCATAGAATTGCTATGAAACAAACGTAAAATTGTGTATTGTTGATGTAGGGAGCAATCTTGTAGCAATGTGATAGAAAACAGAATAGAATAAATCGGATTACAACACAAGTAAATGAAACAATGATCGATTTAGGCAAAGGATTGTGGGATGTCAAACAATCGTATGCAATTAACAATATTGTAGCATTACGATTGATGTGTCTAGCATTAACTTAGCAGTTTATTCTTCTTTTGAAAATATTCACCAACAACTTACAAGAAGGACTATATCTCTATAGCAATTCAAATAAGCGTACTAAGAATGCTCTGAAAAAATCTATATTATACTTAATGTTGTTCTCACAGAAGTTTATATTATTCATGATGTAACCAACTCTCACAACATTATTGGGCAGTTTATATCTCTACAAACAAGTCGAAAATTAAACTCAAGCAACACCAATCAAGAATACTAAGGTAAACTGAATAAACATGAAATTCATAAAAATATATTCAAAATAAAATATCCAAGTTTAACATCTTAACATAAAAAAAACAAATTATCTTAACAACATAAATCCCCTTTCTCAAGTTCGGTATAAATCGCTAAGATGACGCCCAATCGATCGTCGACTACCGCTCTCACGATTGCAACATGCTTCACATCCAAGTGTTGTTTTTCCAGAGGTTTCTAAGCTGCCATGCGGTGGTAGGAGAGAAAAATAGAAGACGTCTATTTAAAGTGTGTAGATAATAATAATATATTTATAGCCCATCAAATTCAAACTTTCTACTAATAGGAAAATCCTCTTTTTTTCTGAAAATCTCTTTTTTAAATTCAATTTCCAGCCTTTTTTCGTAGCTTTATCAATTCTTAAAATTTCTTTAACCGCTTGTTAACTCAATAGTTGCTGCAGAATCGGTTTGACAATTCAGTCCAACTTCAGCGCACAGCAACAATTACATCATTAACAATGTCATAGCATCATCAGTATAACAATTTGCAAAAAAAAAAAAAAATTAAAATCAGCCCAAGTACCAACAATTCACTCTCAATATGCAAATGATGTAAAATATGCTAAAATAAATTCAAATATGATTCTAAGAATGCTAAAGTACAAGCTTAACCTAAGTAAAAAGACTTTAAATAATAACTATTTTAGAGAATTATCAGTGTCATCTCCTATCAGCTTGCCTCATGTATGGTAATTATTTCTACATTATCTGTATAAACATTAAATAATATTTGAAGATCTAAGGATAATGATCTTATAACACTTAGAATACTTTTGGATCAAACTAAGATATGATGATTCTAGCTCTGCTAAAATATAGATGTTATAAACCAATTAAGATTTGATAGTTGAAGATCAAAGATTTCTTTCCTCTTCATTGAAGAAAATATCTTTATTCATATTTTATCAATCTTTCAGTATATGTCCGTTCATAGATAAAAAAATCATATTTAAGTACTCGATAAAAATTACTTTATTTCAAGATTTGTATATCAAATATTATCTTTGAACAATTAAGATGTTTTCGAAACTCATCGAGAGTATACACTATATAGGTTGTCTTTATAAAGACAAATAAGCAAATAGATTGTCATTGATTCTTATGTATCATATACACTTGGATTGATTCAATTTATCTAAATATTTAAGAAAATATATTTGTACAAAATTTCATAGATTTTTTTTTTAAATTTTCTTATATTTTAATCTTTCAGAGATAAACATCACTATATAGGGATCTATAAATTATTGGACGTGTTTTAAAGTTTTTCATAACTGCCAGAGTAATGAAGTAATTGCATCTACCACGAAATAATTTTAAAAAATCTTCATAATTCAACTTGTATTTTATATCTTTCAACTTATTCATTTACAACACAAATAAATAACATCTTTCTATTTCAATCAATCATGTCTATATCTATATTTCTTAATAGATTTTAATTCAAGATTATCATACAAATTAACATACAACTTATAAACTAATAGGCTTGTGAAGTTATCAAAATTTTACCACCAACTATTTGGATTAATCAGTATAAAATTATTTCAGTTTAATTAAAAAAATTAGATTTGAATCATTAAAAATATAATAATACAATTAAACTAATTTATATTTAAATCATTAAATCAATAAAGGTCAAATATTGATAATTCATAAAATAGTTATTAAAATTTCAGTAAATAGGAATAAAAATAGTGAGCCAATAATAATGTTGCTAGTAATGAAGGGGCTAGCTTGTATTTAGGGGTAAACGTTCTATCGGGTAAAATTGAGTAAAAAAAATTAAATTATTCGATTTTATGAGTCATATTTTACATTTTGAAGCTAACTTGAAAAATTTTAGAGTCGATTAAAATTTATGAAATTTGAATCGAGCCAAGTCGAGTCAAATTTTTGAGTTTATTTTTAAATTTAATTGTAAACACTTATTGTAACCCCCACAGACTGATAAGGGTAACCAGATCCGATTCGGGGTGTCACATTTGGGCCACCGAAGTGACCCACTGTAAAAATAGTGGAAAATTTAAAACTTTTTAAATTACATGTAAACTAATAAAATCAGTTGTCACTATTTAAAAATAAAACAGATTTCCAGACTCGTATATAAAAAAAATACAATTACATGCCCCCTAATCACATGTACCATACTCTGCAACAACGC